ACTAATTAAGGTCAATGTGATTAGGACTGTGGGATAAATTTTTACTTGGAAATAATTCATTTTTAGAAAGTTTTAGTCATATTTCGTTTAATATTAATTACGAAAATCGCGTGATTGTGTCTAATCAAAAAGTATCATTGTTAATTTACTACTTTATATCATCTTTTGACCTGTGTCAAATTCTTAAAAGTAAAATAAAAATTACTTGTATCAGTTTTTTTGTAACTTAACGATTACATTGTAGCATGAGTTCCCCATCGGATTCTGAAAAGAAGATAAATTTATTCGAATTAGTAGTTTCATAATATAACAATATACGTGATCGAAATACATAATAAAGGAAATAATTGATTGAGATAAGAAACGCGCGTAAAGTGCGCGCGAAATGCGGATGAACGGAATAATCTGGACCAATTAATGAAAATTCATTTATTTCTGTCGTGCTACATCGAGAAATGCGATGCTCAACTACTTGCTACTGTCAAAGAGTTTCTTTCTGTACAAATTACAGCGCCTGGAGAGACGCGTTATAATACTATCGCGGTATATGATACAACTATGACTTTTCGTCCCTTCACCCACGCATGCATACACGCACCCTGCTTCACATGCTCAAATCGCATAAACGCTCAGACAAACACATGCATACTCGCATATACGCTCGCGCGCACACGTACAATCGCAATGATCACGTTACCACAGAGATGTGTTCATGCTAATGCGCACGAAGCGCTATTTACAGATCGAACGAGATCGAAAAGTGGACGAGGAGATTCGTCGCGAATCCTCGAGCCGTTTCTTTCGCGTAATCCGCGAATGATCTCTACCAGCCATATTACGCGAACATAGGACAAATTGTTACGGAACATGTCCCGTGGTTGAACATTCACGGTAGAATCTCAATTTACCAACATAATCGACGGAGGATCCTCAGACAACTCTCGACTGTGTTCGAATCTTTGAGTACTACATCATCGTGTTTCCAAAAGTGATTTCTATAGTGACACGTTGAGTTTCCAAACTCAACATGAACATTGAATTTGAAAGAAGGGAGAGAGAGGAGAAGAGGACAGAGAGAGAGAGAGAGAGAGAGAGAGAGAAAGAGAGAGAGAGAGAGAGGAAACTCGTAGGATTCATCAGTCACTTTGCGGGAAATTTGATCCTCCGTCGATGAGCTCGCCTCGTACATATCAACGAAAGGACACATGTACACCGAATTATATATTTATATATCTATAAATAGCTACACATTACACGTTACGCGATTAACATTGGGCGCTAGGGTTAGTTCTTTGGCTGCACCTGGGTGTTACCGGGGGAAACGTGAACGTAAGAACACCGGACACATACTAGCTCCTCGTCACAATATACCGCGTCGCATCGTCCTTCGCTGCTTCCTTACGTAATGTTCGTGCTCTCTCGCGATGTGGAACTAAGTGATATTCACATTACCGATTGAAAGACACGATATATGTATAGATAACGATACGATAAGCACACAGTAATAAGATATGTTTCAAGAATAAATTGCAATTAGAGGGAAAGTCAAATATCGAGTATCGAATCATTTTGAGACAATCTCTGTTTAGATGAGTCACCAGTCAAGAGAAGTAGAAAATTTTAATTAAGAAAGACACGAATTGAGGAAGGGAAAAGTGTTCGATCACTCAAAAAGTTCTGTTTTACTTCTTCAATCAGATTTTGACTTTATTGAATGTTCAGTGAGTTAGTGATCATTTTAGTAAAAAGTAATTGTTATTATCATTAATCTTTCGCTTATGGTAGCATTTCTATATCTTTATCATGACTAATTTTTCATTGAACGGAATTGAATTTTTTGTCTGACCTGTCAATATCACGCGAAGAAAGATCAGCAGTATTTTTATAGTCTACGCTGAAGAGAGAAAATGATTGAGTTAATGAGATTTCGCTAAAACAAATAAAATTCGTTGAAACAAACGTTTAGTCAATTGAACGAATTATACAGTTGTTGTGATGAGAAATATTTGTCAATTAATTCAATGCTGGCGATTTCGCTCGTAATATTTATTATATTGTTAACGCAGTTTATTGTTGCACAAACGCGTAATTTACTCAATATATACACAATATTTTTCTGAAGATGGGTGACCGTCGATTTTATCGATTCAACCTTTTTTCACAGTGCATCATTACTTGCATCATTATGTGCATCATTATTTGATATCGATATTGATATTCTATCCGATATAACAGTCACATTTGTAAAGTACCGAAGAAGGGGATCACCTCCTTATTTTGTCTTATTCTATGTCATGTAATGACTTGATTGTTATCCGTAAACAAGATTGCTTTAGATGTAAACCGAATGTCTGACAAAGAGTTATCGAAAGTTCTCGAATACATATCACAATGATCGAACACAAATTACACAGCAGTAACAATGTTTGATAGCCGATTTCCAAAAGACAGTTTTATATCTGCGCCTTAAGCACACACATGTCAAATTGTTTTAGATTAATACAGCTTTCGATCAATTGCAAATAATATCTAGTACATTGAATTCGCTAATTAACAATTTTCGACCAAAACGCTCACACGCTATTATAAACAAAAAATATTTGTTATTACAACTAAAAACCTCGCTAGTTTAACAAATCCATAGCCGTAATGTAAGAGACAGTAAGTATTTATGCTACAGTAACAACATTTTAAAGATATGTAACATTAGAAATAACACTTAATAGAGTTAGATGTTATAACATGACAAATTTGTTAGCATAATAAAAAATGGTTTTCTACTAAAACTGATCGAAAGAATCGTTTGGGATAACTAATACTTTCGTTGTTTCAAAGAAAGTTTGATACATTAAAGGGATTGTAGCTAAGAATTAATTGCCCTAGCAATATAGGAATTAGTTAAAGTAACAAAGATAGATAGATATTGTTGCGCCACACTCACACGACTGAGTCCCAGATCATGATTACGTGATCGGACTCCCAATGCAAAAGTCCTATTCGCGCTCAAAGTCAAACATGAGGAAACATAGATTTAAGAAATAAAAACAAATATAAGCATATACAGCGTGTGGTCTGAAATTTTTTACTCTGTGTCCTTGAATTCTTTGATAAAACATTTCTTAGTTCTTAAATCTGTATTTGACTAAATCCGACTTTAATACTTTTATATATATAGAGTAATGAGATAAATTAAAATTGATAATACCAATTTGTGCATACTAGTACATTAATATATATGCAAAAAGCAATTAAATCTTTATTTTTCTATATATTTTTCACAATAATTAATTCCACCCGTTATTCTACGTAAAAAAGATATCGTGAGATTATCGAAAAATAAATACTTTACGACATACATTTCATATTTTAAGTTAAAAGATATCTGGATAAAATGTAAAATATTTTAAATAGTTCAAAGTCATTTCAAGATTATAATAACGCAAATTATTGAATTTATTGTTACATTAGCTGTAAAAGACTAAAAAAAGAACGTTAAAGAAAAGACGTCAAAAAAAATATCGTGTTCTATGTAAAAAAGTTAAGATGAACATAAAATTTTAAAAGAATATGAGACCCTCAAAAATTAATTTCGATAATTTGATTTTGAACAGAATATACCTTTCTTGAAACATGTTTTGTAATAACAAAATTTAAAAATTATTGAAAGTAGATATAATGACTCACCACTTATGTGGAAGCACTTCTGTGAGCAATTCTTGGTAGCATGCGTGAAAGCTCCGTTACTACATCATTACGCATACTATGAGAGAGGGGAGTACAGTACATAAATATAATTACAAATTAAAATAATCATCAAATAAGTCTTAAAACTGATAGCACCAGTAAACAATAAAATTTAATTAAAAGGATTAGTTAATAGTAACTGTTGCCATTGTTAATGTAGTTTGTAAAAGTACAATCGTACAGCAAGATATATAGAAGTCATTAATTCCGACATGAACACAAAAAGTTGAATTTCATATAGTATTAAAGATTTTGCAGCGCAATTTTATTTTGTCAAAGTCAGCGAGATATAAAAAAACGGAGCAGTGCTTTCATTGAAAATCAGAATATTCACTGATCATCAGTAAAATACTCGTTTTATTGATTCAATTAGAAACATTTTTACTGATTCACTTTAAGAGAGTATCAACGCAATTATCAAACTTGCACTAATAATTCTTATATCTTATTATTATAAAATTATCGCAACTCAACTCTCTAGCATAAAATTCCTAAAATCGCAATTCGTACGCACTGCTCTTACTTGAGTTCAGAGATATCTGCCAAACAGCGCTGATATATCGATATCTGTGTGTATATGTTTCGCTACGCTACCGAATATTGATACTTATGTGTTTTCAACTAGAGACATTTGGAAACTAATAAATTTCTTATCTGTTAAATGCTATAAGGTAACGATTAAAATATAAGTTCATTAAAATTAATTAAAGAAATAAATTCATGATTCATTTAAAAGTAATTTATGTGTGTATGTGTGGTGGTATATATTATATGAATTTGCATGTATGTTTATTCGTGAAAAGAATCAAAGTAAAAATAAAAAAGATAATAATAGTCAGAAAAATATAGAAAATGCTTTGATTACTATTAAATGGTACAACACCTTTGCCACATGTGTGAAAAGTTTAAATTCAAAATCCTCATTATTATTGACTTTCCCATTTTTTAATATTTTGTTATAAAATTTGGTGAAAGCTTACATTATATATTATAATATTTAATATGTTTATATTATTATTTAGTATTAATATAAATAAAATAAAACGTTAATAATAAAAATAAAATAATAAATTCTTTGTTATCGTAGGCAATATTTTCTTTTCTAAATATTATGAATGTACAGCTTGTATTTTATAGAAAAATGTTTATTCTTAAAGGCTTTATCAGCTTTCAATTCTTTTTTCTTTGATTTATACAAAAATTTTTAAAAACATTTTTAAAAAATTAATAATGAAAACCTTAATTAAAAAGTATTTTAAATCAGTTATGATAATATATAAAGTATACATTACATATTCTTTTATCTATACAGAAATGTTTATAAGAAGTTATTAGACTCATCATGAAAAAATAGATTTTACAGAAACAACTGCTGTATTGCCATTATTTTTTATATTTATTAATTCTCACATACTACAATATTTTTATTAATTTACATAATGTAAACTCATACCAAAATTTATAAAAATACTAAAAAAAAAAGTTAATAGGGTTTTTCATTTAAACTTTCCACGCGAGTAACAAACATATTTTATTCTCTTCAGAATGGATTAGAGAAGCCAGCAAAAAATTTAATATCTCCAATATTGCATTACAACGCAAGTTTACTGGCCAATCACTATTGAATAAGTAACCTGGATAATAACTATTATCTTCAAACAAAGAATTAACATTCGTAAGATGGATTTTACTTTGAAATTTACTTGCGGATTTCGACACAATTTCGATAACTTCAGTGACGTGACAATAACAAAGAACAAAGGCACCTACGCAAGGTATATATTGGCTTAAATTTGATCTTATGTAGGGGTCTTTGCTAATCTATGCAAAGTACCCATTTTTAGTATACAGCAGACACATCAATTTAGTAAAGCAGAAGATGTCAGCAGCAATTTAATAAGATGTAAATTGATAAGAAATAAACGTTTAACTTTTTCTATATAATATAAATTGTTACATTCTTCAAACTTCTTTTCAAAATTCAAACTTCAAAATTCTTTTGTGACAGTGACCATCGGCTAAAATTTTGATTATTACTCAGGATATTGCTCGTGACAACTTATGTTGTCATTATATTGAACGTTTGTTACGAAATAAAACTAGTATAATCTTCAAACTTTTTTGTTAATAACTTTTTAATAAACAAAGACCAACGGCTAAAACTTTTTGATTATTATATCAAAATTATATATTTAATAACACATATATGAGAAGGTTATGGAGTTGTCCGTTAATGTAAATATATAATTACCACAATTTTTTAACTATTTTTTTAACAGCAACATAAAACTCGCAAATCGTAGTAATTTTAGTTTACGAAATATGTATGTTGTTAAATACACGATAAAAAATATAAACTTCTAAAATAAATATATATATAAGTATTAAATACTTTTATACTAGAGCTATTATATTAGTACTGTTTATTTCTTTCGTAAGTTAAATTATAATTTTTTTAAATAAAATAATAAACTAAATGATTAAATAGTACATTCTTTTTCACAGATTTTATAAATTGATTTAACTACGATAAGATTAAACAAAACAGGCTATCTAAGATTTATTATTTATTTACAAAATAAATAAAGATTTCTATTAAATATCTGCCTTATTAAATTGATGAGTCTGAGATATTATAAAATTAATAGATACCAAAAAAATCAACAAGATTTCTATTCAAGCTAATATGTATAATGAATCGCGAGAAAAATTTCATAGTATGTTTCTCTGTATGTCAACATTAAACATCGAAAATAGAAATATCGAGAACAGAAATATTGTTATTAAGAAGTACAAGCTGTATATGAACTTTTTATATCATTTCACTTGAAAGTTCTATGAAAATTTATAAAATAAATAATAAATAAATAATAATATTCGGTTTACATTATCATTTAAATATCTTTCAAAACTATTCTCATTTTGCGTTGTCAAAGTTATCAGGATCTCCCTTAAATTTTCATAAGCAAGATATAAATTATTAACTAGCGTTATGACTTGCAAAAATTTATAGCGAATGTGACTCCTTTTACTTGATATGTAATTTTTTTCTATTGAGAATTTAATATCCTATGACCCGTTATAGAGATATGAGATAATTTGCTGACTCATGATTAGGACTTACACGCGTGTACATATTTTTAGATATCCTTCTGAAACTTGAAATCCATTAATTCAAAACCCAATTATCTATTAATTTAAAATCTAATTATTTTGGCTTTAAAACTGTGATGATTATTGCTTTTATTTGTAACAACAGTTTCTTTCAATATTCCTCCTAAATTTCTTGGAGTTAAATTTTGTGCAAAAAGCAAGGTGATTACAGAGTCACGGAGTAATTTTTCAATCATATAGAGTGATTATCTATTCGTCGAGTAAATATTTTTTTCACATGAAATTGAAGAGTAAATTTGGTGTACTTCACAGTTACAGGAACATATTCACTCTAATTGATTGAAACACTCACCCATATGAACTCAAAAACCATTCTAAGTTTAAATGAAAAATTCACTTCTGCGATTTCGAGTAGGCAATATTTTCACTATCGCATTCAATAAAAATACTGCCACTTTTCAATCGTTTTAAGTGAGACTCCACTTCAAGAAATTTAGAGTGAAATTCAATCGACAAATTCATGTAAATGAATGAAGGTTACCCTAACTTTAAATAACCCATAATTAGGACTGTTACCTTATCGCCCAGCTGTCTTAAACCGATTGTTTTAATTGGGATTCACCTGAAGCGTACATACAACAGTCCAAGCAACAACGACGCGTTTCACTTAATTTCCACATCGCACGAGCACGATTCGCCTACGACGTCCGCCAACGTAGCAAACTCGCCGAGACAGACAGCCGGTTCCGCTTTTCGGTTTCGGTCGCTCGATCACAGACAGAGGGAGGAGGAACGATGATGCAGCGGTCGCCGAGTCGCCGGTGGGGATCGCTAATTGGGGGAGGACGGGCGTGCCCGCAGTGGCGGGGGTGTGCTGGCCGTTGCTTGATACGGTACATACCTGAGGCCGGGGGGCGCGGGGGCGATAGGGGGCGACGATCGTCGCGAGATCATTGCGACCGGGGATGGTTGCCAGGACCACAACGGATACGCGAAGGCCGGGCCGACGGCGGCGGGGGTGGAGTAGGGCGAGGGTGAGCTCGTGGCACCCCTTGCTCCGTACAAGAGCGTCGACGGTGGTAGCCAGGGTAACGGGTGGCCGCCGTTCTCGTGCTGCTGCTGCGCGGATGACTGGTGATGTTGTTGTTGTTGCTGCTGCTGCTGTTGCTGCGAGCCGAGCGCCGCAGCGGCCGCTGCCGCCGCTACTGGGGACGACATGGCTATGTGCTCGTAAAGTCTGACCGGAGGTACGCCACATCTCATCAGTTGTTGCTCCATCATCTCCATAGGATCTCTGGAACAATCGAGCGGAAAAGAGCGCTGTCGTGAGCGAGACAAATGGATTAAATAAATAGACACGAGACAAAAATAAATAGACACGATGTGTGTGACAAAAATTTAGGCACAATAAAGCTCACCAATCTGTCAAAATTAGGTATTATTACTGACGGACTTGCAAAAAATGATTATACTATTAATCATTATTAGTATTACTATTTTTTATTAATTATTACTATATTTAGTGTTCTTAATTATATTATTATTGCGTGAGTCTGTCGGTAATAACTTTTAAGATTGACAGTTTGGTGAGTTTTTAACTCAATTGTGTGTAAATTGTTTTGCAAACCACTGTACAATTGTAGGCAAAGAGACTGCTTGTAATTTTTGGAATGAGTTAATGAATTTTCAATTTTGTCCAATGGAAGAATTTATTTTCACGAACTTACTCCAAAAATTACAAACAACTTCCTGGTCCGCAATCGTATACGTGTATACGTATATTCGAAATCAGAAATGAATCTCGAAAGAAAGAATTCTTGTGATGAAAGTGTTGAGATACGAATAAAATAAAGGAACATAGATAACGAAATGAGAAATTATCACAGATTTCGCTAATTCATGTAACAAATAAGCAGAAATACAAAGTACGCTAAATACTTGAAGAAATATTAAGATAAAAATATTTAGCATTTATAACTATAAATACATAGTAAATAATTACTATGAATTATGATCAAGAGAAAACTATTTCTTGTTATATTTTATTATAATGTTAGTGATAATGACCTCATGTGCATGTTATTAATATCATTTTGTTACAAAAATATGGTTAGAGTAAGTAATAAATATGATATTAGTTAGATTTCTTTTTCATTTTTTATTCTCCGTGTAGCAGTCCTTCCCCGCAAAATCCTCTTGAGCATTGTCGGTTTGGAATCTATGTAGAACAAAACGGGGAACGGAACCGAATCGAACCGAACCACACGAGCGCCATGCTATTGTCGTGCCGAGAGGTCGCGAACCCTCGCAAAACGGCGCCGCTTTATCCCGCGCGAAACTGTGCGAGATCGCGTGCGCGCGGGCGCACAGCTTGATCGAGCAAATAAATCCTGTGGAGGCGCGGGAACGCGAGACAGCGAGATAAAATCGTTCGTCCTTAAGGCGAGAAAGAGGCGGCACTCCGCCTCGCCAGTCGGCTGATTAATCGATCGACGTTATCGGCATTAATGGCACTTAAAAGGGAGTAAATCAATGAGATTCCTTCACGGCCGGTCGACAGACGGAGGGAGAGGAGAATGGCGGATAATTAAGACGAGCTTTTCTCTCGTAGGAACGCACGCGAGCGGGAAGAGGGAACGACGATCGTTTCGCTTAGAGCCTCTTCCTCCTCGCGTCCAACCGCGTCCTATTCTCCTCCCCTTCCACCCTCTCAACAACGTGATGGATGATTTCGTACGTTAGACACGGGCTTAATTAGGGTTAATTACGGCCGATTGTGCGCGGACGCGCCTTCGTTGCTTCGTTACTATCGGCAGAAACGCTAACGAGCGGATTATTGGCCGATCGCGTATGAAAACGCGTCGCGAACCGCGAGAGGATTCCACCCTCCCTCTCTATCTCTTTCTCTCTCCTCCTCTATACGCTCACGCCGACGATAATTAACGACGGAGTCTCATTGCGCGGAATCACGGCGAGTCACTTCCTACTTTCGTGATTACGCGCGGGAGCGGAGCATAAGGACAAGCCGATTATCGGGTGGTCTATCTTAATTATTAAGACTTCATTACGATATCGCGAAAGCTGCGGCAGCGAGACGTGGCGCGGCCCCTTAATTGCTTTCGATTTCAGACTCGCCGAGGTAAGACCGATTGCGCGAAGCGAGCCAAACGAGTAAGAGAGAGAAAGAGAGAGAAAGAGAGAGAGAATCAGAATCTCAATGACTATTTACGTAGTCCGAATGATTTCGTATTCTGCCAACCTCTTAAAGTGAACAAATCATAAGATCTTAATGATACATAGAAGAAATTATGGTTTAATTGATATGGCAAATGATTTATAGTACTAACATTCTCATAAAGCAAACCTTTTTGTTGATATTATCTTAGTTACTTTAACAAATCGTTACGTATTTCGAGTTAACTAAAGTTTATGAAACAAATTTATTAATTTTGTCAAACAAATCATACACTTATATTCAATATTGAATTATTATTATACTATTATTATATTATTATTTATAGAATATTTTATTTACAAAAAGAAAAAATGGAGTACTATTTGCAGATTGATTGCAAAGTAATTATTCCAAGGATTTTAATAAGCATATATGCTTTAGCTAATTTCTGAAATAACTAAATATTTAGCTGTAATGAAATTTTTTAATATATTAAATTTCTTTTGATACACGGCAAAAAGATTAGTTATCAAGTCGTCAAGTCTGATGATAACATATAAAATTCTCGTGTAGATTAGATCAAATTCAACAAAGAAATCCTCCATTTTGCAAACCACCATGTAAAATTTTGAGTTATTAATTAAAGGAGAATAACAAATATGTGTGATCACACAGGATACAGTGCAAAAGATATGACAGTAAATACGATTTGTGTTATGTATTGTTACATTAGAATCAAAGTTCTCTATCATAAAAAATCTCTACCATTTTGTTGAAATTACCATTTTGCAAATAACGACATAAACTTCTGAGTTATTAATTAAAGAAGATTGATAAGTGATCGTACGTAATCTATATACGTACGTACGTATGTATTCTATATACTAAAAGTTATATTTTCTATTAGTGTGATAGAGAAACATCTTCACTTCATTAACAAATCTACTATGCTATTACATCAAATTATTAGGTACTATCAGATAGCACAAATCTTATATAGTTTTACGATTTAATTACTACAGTATAATAACATGTATATGTGTACATGTGTATGTGGCTATTTATATTATGACTATAGATTTGCTAAGCTAGTTAGATTTTCAAGTTAGACAGCAAATCGTCTTTTCAATGTAAAAAAAAGGAAATGCCATTTTTTATTGGTTAGAGAAATTTGTGGAAGTCCTTATTTGAGTTCTACACTCGGTTAATCTTTCATTTATCATATTTGCGAGCGATCTGTTATTAGACGCATTGCATTTTTAACAGCAAATGAGAGTCCAGGAACAAAAGGACTGAACGGGAAATATATGCGCTCAATTTGGATTACGTAAATTTTAGAAGGTAAATTTTATTAGAATCAGTCGCGGATTAATTTCGAACGAGAGATAAAATATACAAAAGATACGAAAATACGTCAGACTTCCTGTTTACTTAAGTATGAATGAGAAGATTCTCGTCCTACGAATCTTCAAATATCATGCCATAAGTGAGGAGTGGAAAACAAACTGCGCGGGTTTTGTTGTCTATCTGGTTTTAGACCTCAAGAAAAGACGAGAGCAGCGTCGATGGGTGGCTGCCAGTTCTTCGCGCTTCTCGGAAGTCAAGTGGTTGAGAGACAACTTGATACACTAGTATCCTGCCGGATAATTTGAGCATGGGCCGCCCACGAATGATACCTCCTATCGATCATCCAGTTCCGCGAACTGACAGCGTGCTTCGGGATATTCCAGGATGCCTTTCATAAAGCCACGGCGCTCGATAACTCAGCATTTCGTGCGTAAAATAATTCAAGCGCATGCATAACGAAGAGGAACCTATGAATATATTTGTGTCTGTTCCTACTTAGATCGTGACTTTTAATTTGATATAAGTTTTCCCGCGAGTGTCGCTTGAAATTTCCATGTGAAGTAGTAATTGTAAAATTCCTATAGCTTCACAGTTAAAGTGAAGAAAATTATTATCATTATCATTATTGTAGATAATTATTATTTTGGTATCATATGGAAAATCATCCAGAAAATGGAAAAAATGGAAAGAAATTAGGGGCTACAGTTACAAAAAAAGTTTACGATTCTCATGAAAAGCGCATCTTAAATAAACCCAAATGAACACATCTGAAAGGTTTTTCGACGCAATTAAAAATTAACTGAAATAACTATTAAAATAATGGTCGTACTTACAGCAATGATATATATTAAATTAGGTTAGATTAGGTTTCTGCAGTGTGGAGACAATGTCCTCGATCATGCCTATATGTACGTATTGATAATACTCATAATTGCTTTTGATCTATGAAGTTTGTTATTTGAACATATTACAATTTTTTTATACATATTTTTCTACAAAACAAAATGTGTTTATTATCCTTGCCAACTTTGCCTAGGAGTCTTGCTACTGTAAAATATTCATTTTTGGTACACGGAGAGAATATTGTAGCAAAAATTACATTACAATTTTAGTAGTCAGGGAATAGATTGGCATTATTACGAAAATTATAATAAAACATAGTAAAAATGACTACAAACATGATAATTTTTACATCATTTATGGTAATTTTACTATATTCATGGTCACATTTACTATATATTGTTATAATTTTCATAGTGCCAATCTACTTCCGAAGTACTAAACATTGTATTGTAATTTTTACTACAATATTCTTTGCGTGTATATATAGGATGTAAAGTTATAGGTATTATAGGATATTATGTTGGCAGTTAAAATATCAAAATGTTCTTAAATTTACTTTAGCGATTCTAGAAAAAAAAAACTTCATCAAATTATATTACTTTCGATATCAAACGATTGAAAGGAAAAAAAATTTCATATTTTAAAAATTGTATTATTAGATTTAAAAATTGTAACATCTTTAACACCTTTAAGATCTTGTAATGTCTGTAAAACCTTTAATTTTAACTTTAAATTGTGTATAAACTCATAATAAACTTATTGATTTAGAAAGGCAAACGATTTGTTTAAGAAATTAAAACCTTGTGCAGGATCTGCACTAATTTTCACAAAATACCAATTTTTAATATGTGGTAGACTCATCAATTTAGAAGAGCGAAAGATTTGAGTAACCACAATAAAAATAGATGTTTACGTGTATGTATATGTTA